TGTTTAATTGTCCATCTCAAATGTACGAAGGTTGTCCCAAAAAGTTGTAGACAAGGAAAACAGTTTATTTTCTCTTTACCGAATTAAATTTTTTTCTTATCATAGCAAAGAGTACCATTTTATGATCATGCATTTCAAGTTCCATGATGATATCACATTTAAGAAGAAAATTATGAAAAAATAGAGAAAGCATGTAAGTGTACATCGGCGCACAAAAGCAAGCGAAATTTGCGTCTCTTAACGTTATGATCTCTTTTTCTGCTACACACGCGTCTGCTAACATTCCAATAATTGTTTTAAAAATGAAAGACCACTCTTGACAAAGGGACTTACATGTATTTAAATTCACTACTGTCCTTATCACTTTTTTTTACTAGATTCAAATTTCAGTCGAACTTTAGTCGAAAGATCACCTTCCATTGTAGGCAGCAGAGAATATACATTGTTTGAAGTCTGTCCGTGGCCAAGAACATTTCCCACTGTCTGTGTTTCACAAACAATACTCTACTTCTTACATGCAGTAACTTTTCTCGGTATAGAGGAAAAACTATTTTTGAATTTCATACCAGTTAAAAACAACTTCTCTATTAGAATCTAGTGTGAAATGTCACTTCAATTCTGTACTCTTTTTTTCCGTCTTTGGACATATAGACCATATCCAAAACATTTCATTCCGTGCGCCGGTTACGCGTTTGACGACGTCATTTTTATCAAACTCATTTCCAACAACACTTTGAAAATCATGACACCAATAGTGAGTTTCTAATGCTATTTATATGAAAATTTGACATGTTATTAAGATTTTGATTCTGTTTTCACTGATTTAAATATGAGTTCAATGTTTTACATAGTACCAAAGAAATAATAGCAAATGTAATAGTTATATGCGTAAATTATTCCGAATTTTGTTCGTGCGCCGACACACCATATCGGCCTTCATATAAATCTTTCCAATATAATTAATATGAAAGATATCTATTTAAGAATTTACAATTTTACAAGAACATTGAATACATTACGTCTATGCAAAATTTGGCTAGTATCTGTTGCATGTTAAACAAGAGGCCCATGGGCCACATCGCTCACCTGAGCATTGTGGCTAGGAAAAAGCAGAATTGGTTTATACTTGAAAAGCTTAAGTCCAAAAGTAGTCCCATGACCAATCATGGCTTTGCTATTCTTGAGAAAGAGATTTTTAAAGAATTTTCCTACACATTTCTATGTAAAACTTTGGTCAGCCATTTTGGCCCCGCCCTACCCCTGAGGGTCATGATTTGTACAAACTTGAATCTACACTACCTGAGGATGCTTCCATATAAATATGATCAATTATGGCTTTGCTATTCTTGAGAAGAAGATTTTTAAAGAATTTTACTATATATTTCTATGTAAAACTTTGGTCGGCCATTTTGGCCCCGCCCTACCCCTGAGGGTCATGATTTGAACGAACTTGAATCTACACTACCTGAGGATGCTTCCTTATAAATATGATCAATTATGGCTTTGTTATTCTTGAGAAGAAGATTTTTAAAGAATTTTCCTATATAATTTTATCTAAAACTTTGGTCGGCCATTTTGGCCCCGCCCTACCCCTGGGGGTCATGATTTGAACAAACTTGAATCTACACTACCTGAGGATGCTTCCATATAAATATGATCAATTATGGCTTTGCTATTCTTGAGAAGAAGATTTTTAAAGAATTTTCCTCTATATTTCTATGTAAAACTTCGGTCGGCCATTTTGGCCCCACCCTACCCCCGGGGGTCATGATTTGAACAAACTTGAATCTACACTACCTGAGGATGCTTCCATATAAATATGATCAATTATGGCTTTGCTATTCTTGAGAAGAAGATTTTTAAAGAATTTTCCTCTATATTTCTATGTAAAACTTCGGTCGGCCATTTTGGCCCCACCCTACCCCCGGGGGTCATGATTTGAACAAACTTGAATCTACACTACCTGAGGATGCTTCCATATAAATATGATCAATTATGGCTTTGCTATTCTTGAGAAGAAGATTTTTAAAGAATTTTCCTCTATATTTCTATGTAAAACTTCGGTCGGCCATTTTGGCCCCACCCTACCCCCGGGGGTCATGATTTGAACAAACTTGAATCTACACTACCTGAGGATGCTTCCATATAAATATGATCAATTACGGCTTTGTTGTTCTTGAGGAGAAGATTTTTAAAGAAATTTCCTATATATTTCTATGTAAAACTTTGGTCGGCCATTTTGGCCCCGCCCTACCCCCGGGGGTCATGATTTGAACAAACTTGAATCTACCTGAGGATGTTTCCCCATAAGTTTCATCTTTCCTGGCACAGTGGTTCTTGAGAAGAAGATTTTTAAAACATGCTACCAAATTTTCATTAATTCCCAATTATCTCCCCTTGAATGAGGGCGTGGCCCTTCATTTGAACAAATTTGAATTCCCTTCATCCAAGGATACTTTGTGGCAAGTTTGGTTGAAATTGGCCCTGCGGTTCTTGAGAAGAAGTCGAAAATGTGAAAAGTTTACAGACAGACGGACAGACAGACAGACAGACGGTCAGATGGACGCCGGACAAAATGTGATCAGAAAAGCTCACTTGAGCCTTCGGCTCAGGTGTGCTAAAAAGTTATAAAAATTGTCTTCGACTTTTTGGGACAACCCTCGTATATATAAGAAATAAATAACAAGTTTATAAACTTCAATGGGAGTTGAAGTGGGTAGGTACGCGATCAAATCTTCTAAGAAGGTCTTTGGCCTTCACAGGATTTGATCACGTGACCGACCCACTTTAATTCCCATTGAAATTTATAAACTTGTTATTTATTTCTTAATTGATTTTTATGAACGATGTTGCCATGGTTACTAAAAATAGAACTTTCTGTGAAATACTTTGAAAATGCTACCCCCAAAACAATTTTAGTCTGATTATAATGTAATGGGGCATGCAAGTAGACTGCACTAAGAACAGAAAGAGACTTAATCAAGGATCATTATTCTATTTATTGCTGTTGTAAAGTTTCAATTCCCAACTGCATCTTTTCTCTTCCTTTGGTATAAGTAAAAACCAGTAGAGCTTCAGTCTCGACAGAGAGGTTGTATCTTTTCCCTATGGACAGGAGTCATTCTCCCGCTAAACACGGTACTGAAATATGGAGATGACGAGCAGGATTCAATTACGCTCAAGGTCCATTTTAACAAAAACAAAAATCAGGAGAAAAGCAAACACGGACCTCCAAAGCATCAGGTGGGACCAGGGGCCATGGAGGAGTGAGCATCCCCTGCATACCGGTCTTACCCGTCGTGTGTCGTGTACTCCGTTGTCATAATCAGGAAATAACGAAAATATCCTTTATAGACAATTAATTGTGTAAATCATGATCTAATAATTAGAAAGAAAAACGCCTGTCATATGATAGGTTATATTTGCTGAAGAGATCATTTTCTCGACCAAAAAATTTGAGAAATGATAACTTAACCAAGACTTTTGATATTTTTTGTTTCATCAACTTGTCAATAACTGTACTTGTTTTAGAAATTGATCATACTAGTATATGAAGCGTGCTCTTGCATTTCGAAGCAATTGACAGATATAAACACCCTATGCAGATGATATGAAACATGTATATCGCTGTATAAGTATGCGAAGTTGACGATTGAACAGTTAAAATCCATCATAGATATCACTGTTTAATCAATTTATTTGTCAATCGTCTGCCTCCTTTTAGACATCTTTCGTACAGATAGTTTGTTTCATCAACTTTTTTGTCAGTAATTTACCTTGTTCAAGAAATTGCACAAACGTAGAGCATGCTCACTTGCGCATCGAACCAACTATAAACCTCGTATGCAGGTTATGAAGGTATATAGCAGCATAACTTAGGGAAGTTGACGATTGAAAAGTTAAAAGTCGTCACGTTTAGCATAGAGCTTGATTGCTAGAATCCCATTAACGTCCTTTCAAGTAAAATATCCAAATGTAAAACATATATATCAGACTCTATGGTTCTTTTAATTCAATTTTAATTGAAGAACGGGAAATATGGCGGACTATGCCTTTTTACGAGTAGTGTTCAGCTTTAAGCAAATTTCGATGTATTAGTCACAAATTACCAATTGAACTTGGAAGATTTTTAAATATAGAGCAGAAAGATTATGTGATCTTTGTAGTGCGGGAGAAATTGGAGATGAATTTAACTATTTATGTCGTCCCGAACGAAGTCGACATATTGCGATTGTACGCATGTTTTGTTATACAAGCTGTTTCTCGGAGATGGCTGGGACAATCTTCCTGAAACTTTCCTCAAAGGAGGATCACTGGTTGTAGTTGTGTTGTGTGGTCATTCAGTTTCAAAATGGCTACCGTTGCCATGGAAACCTGAAAAAAGCGACGAATTTTGTCCGCGAGTGTTCTCTCTGGTCCCTTGAACATTCGTCATGAAATTTTATTGATGTAATGATTAGTATCTGTAATTGTGCTCATTGGATTTAAAAATTGAAAAGTTTCCATGGAAACAGGGGAAAACTGAAAATTCTTTAATTTTGATTTTTATATCAAAGTACTGAAAGGACTGATACGAGTTGATGGTTTTCCAAGCTTAGCTATAATGGGTATTGTTTTAGTGATGAAAAAAATTGAAAGTCTTGTCCAGTTCGGGACGACATAAGCTATTGCTTGCAATAGCAGACTTTCTAGTTTTAATTGCAATTTTTCAATGATGAAAGAAGAAAATACATATCTGAAAGTGTTTACTAAGTGAAAACAAGAAATCTGTGAGCCAGTGCTCACTAGTAATACCCCCGCTCTGATGTGAATATACAATATCATGTTAAGGACGAATGCTACAACGTCATAATGGCTGCTTTTCCGGTGAAAATCTAAGTTCTTCCGGTGAAAACGAGAATTTTCCGTGTGGCGAATCAATTAGGAACCCAAAATTGGAACTCTTTTGTAAGAAAGATAATTTAATACATGGGTCTGTTAAACGCTTTTTGTGACGGTCATATTCATTGAGAATTAAGCGCTGAAATAACAAGTATGTAAATAACCGGTTAGAAACCGACAAAATCGGGCACAATGGATTGCTGATCAGTGTAAAGGAGAGAAAATGAATACTTTGTCTTTGGTTGAAGTCATTGAACACGACCATTTCTATACGCATGACAATAATGAAGGTAGGATATTTTTTTACACGTTTTTATTATCTTGGTTGTCCAATATTTCATCTCAGTGATCTGCAAGCTTTCTGGACACCCGCTTTCTCAAATTCTGTAACCATTGTTAAAGTATTTCAATATAATGTCTTGTTGTTCTGACAAACTTGTCAATTAAACTTGACATTTTTCATAGAACGGGAAAGAAATGGGAATGGACAGTTTAAAGGAGAAACGAGAAAGCCCTCCCCACATGAAGATGTAGGACACGACCATTCATATTCCAGTTTACCGACATCATCATCTACTTCAGGTATTGTAAAGTATATTTAAATGAGCTATTTAAGCCATATGAATATCACACTGTGACATTCACATATATATTGCACGTGGGGATTATGTAATGAAATTAATATTAAAATCTTAAGATGATTGTGAGATGTGCATAGATGAAAACATAGATGAAAACCCAGATGAAAACATAGATGAGAATGATTCGGAGTCAGATAAATGTGACGATGAAGACCCCTGTACATACAGTACACACCATTCGGTACAAGGGAGACATATTGTTGAACTTGATGTTTTGGCAGAAGGACTGGAAAAAGGGTTTGTACATTTATCATTTACTCTTCTTTTTCTTCTTCCATAAATGTGCCCGGCACTAAAGTTGGGCATTATTGCACATAGGGCTGTGTATTGAGCCAAAGTAATACATGTAAAGCAAATATAAAAAGTCAACACATAATTATATTATTATTATTAAAGGTGTTCAAGCTGTGGACAACCATTACAATTGACATCATACATTGGAGAAAGTAGATATGGCCTAGGTAAGGATATTTTTTTCATTGAATTTTAATATCATGTCTGCATGTTATTTATAGTATGTAACTGTTGACTTATACTGTTTTTTTGTGTGTGTGTGTGTGTGTACACATTTGCTCTGATTAAGTATTTTGTAATTCTTTTTCTTTATACTTGAATTTCAGGTAGTCTCCTTCACTTAAGATGTAGTTGTAAGAAAATTAACTATGTTCCCACAGGAAAACGACATTCAAAAAACATTTGGGATGTAAACTCAAAATTAGGTGCAGGTCAGTTGATTTATTTTAATTATTTTTTTTTTATTATTTGAAATTAGAGTGATTGAAGCTTCTTTTAAGTTTTTGAAACACAACATTTCACTACAATCTGATTAATAATGCATATATATATAGTGCATTTGTATAACATTTAAATATATTGATAAACTTCAGCAATGATATTCTGTGGTATTGGTGAAAGTGTAGTCAATAATTTATTGGCTGCATTGAACCTCCCGAACATATCCCCAACCACCCTAAAAAGGAGGGAACGAGAGGCAGGTTCTGCATTTGAAGCAGTTGCTACTGAGACGTGTAGTGATGCAATTGCAGCTGAAAGTAGAAGGTAAGAAAAATTTATATCAATGTTGTTTTGGTACAAAAGTAAGAATATATATATATTTAATAGCATCATTTATGTTTATAACATGGAATTTATACTTTGTAATGCATTAAATTAAATATAGATACATGTTTCATTTGAGAGAAAGTTATGTTTGTTCATTTGCAGTTGTCAAAGTGAAGAAGACCAGGCGGTTTCCTTTGATGCTGGCTGGCAAACCAGAGGAAGTGGAAGGAACTATGCTAGTTTATCTGGTGTGTATTTAAAATAATTTTTTTGTAGCAACTTTTACCACTATTTTTATATCATGCATGTTTAACTGAATAACTGTATGTAAATGTAGTTATACATAGTGTTCTTTGATTTCAGGTCATGGAAGTATGATTGGAGTGAATACCGGAAAAGTCTTAAGTTATGCCGTACGTTGTAAAAAATGTCGTTTTTGTGACAGGGCGGTGGATAAAGAAAATCCAAAAGAGCATGATTGTAGAAAGAATTGGGAGAAATCCTCCAAGGCAATGGAGTCTGACATGGCAGTAGAAATGCTTCATGAATTAAAATCAAAGGGATTTCACGTTAAAAAACTTATCATGGATAATGATACTACTACGATTTCAAGGTTATAATTTTATGCTAAAAAAATTGTACATTTCATACTGAAATTAGAATTACTGTAATAATGGGTCATTACTTGCTAATTAATTGAAATAATTTTGCTATGTATTTGTAGGGCTCGAGCATCTTTTGATGAGTCTTTAGAAAAATTCTCAGATTTTAACCATACCAAGAAAAATGTAACAAACAAGCTATATTCACTTAGAAAGGAAAAAAGATATAATAACCTTGGACCAAAAGCAATAAACCATCTGACTAAGTGCTTTGCATATGCTGTCAAGGGGAGTGAAGATGCAGCTAGCATGAAGAAAAACTTGGAGGCCATTCCTTGCCATGTTTTTGGTGATCATTCAAGATGTTCTGAGTGGTGTGGGTAAGTATTCTAGGTTAATTTCTAAACAATAATGCAATAGTAATAAAAATAATAATTATGTTAATTAAGTAAATTATTTCAGTAAAGTGATTTTCATCTTGCAGATATTTGAAAAATCCATCCTCATATAAACCAACAAGTTTGCCATATGGTAAATATATGAAAGGAGAAGATCTGCTATCTGATTTAAAGACCATATTTGAAGAATATGCTGCAAATTCTGAAAAGCTTGTTAAAGTGGGTAGCACTCAGACCAATGAAAGTTTTAACCATACTGTAGCCTCAAAGAACCCAAAGTCCAACTTTTACAGTGCTTCTGAGTCTACATCATTCAGAGTGGCAGCGGCGGTGGCTCAAAAAAACATAGGTCTTCAAACACTAACAAAGGTTTGTATCATTTAAATTAAAACTTTACATGTCCAACTGATTTTGATGTCTAAATTATATGATTATCTTACAAATATATAATATCAAAAGCATTTTTATTATGTATTATCTAATCTCATTAACAATTTCAGGTGTATGAAAATTTGCTCCTTTCTCCTGGAAAGCACACCAATTCCTACATCAGTAAGGCTTCCAGGAAAAGAGATTATCAGAAGATTGTTAAAAGCAGCGTGGAGTGTAAGAAACGTAGAAAGGAACTCAAATCTGCAGCAAATAAACAGGTATTTGAATTTAATTGTACATGTACATATTTTGTGAATTTAAACTACCCTAAAAATTGATTATTTTGAAAGTTTTGTACAATTCTGTAAATGTTTACTATTCAACAGGTATCAACTTCTGAAGTTAAGGAGGGGACAACATACCAGTCAGCAATAGATCTAGCTGGCAATTTAGAACCTGATCATCTGCAGGAAATACCAGACAGGACATTGCCACCTGCTTCCTCCTCTGTATCAAATAATGAGAACACCTTCTTATTTTTTGATCTAGAAACTACAGGTTTAGGTAAGAATTTTATAAAAACAGTGCCAACACACTATTATTCTGCAATGTGTTCTCATTACATTAATTGTATCACTTTCACTTCATAATATTTTTATATAATTTATTCCATTTCATTACAATAAATGTTAATATCATGTTTATATAAGGTACCTCATCAGAGATTGTGCAGCTAGCCTGTGTTTCTGGTGATGACATCTTTAACAGATATGTCCTACCTAGCTGTGCCATCACACCATCTGCAACAGCAGTCACAGGCCTTCACGTTGTAGGAGGAGAACTTTTTTGCCACAAAGAAAAGGTAGAGAGTGTAGGAATTGACACTTGTCTCAAAGATTTTAAAATGTGGTTGAGCAAATTTCACAGACCTGTCCTTGTGTGTCACAATGGAAAGGTATTTGATTCTGTGATATTGATGAAAACATTATCAAATCACCCAGCATGTGGTACATTACCCATTGAAGGTTTTGTAGATACTCTACATGTATTTAGAGAAGTTCTACCAAAGAGGGACACGTACAGATTAGAAAAACTGGTGTTAGATACAATGTCTGTGGCATACAATGCCCATTCAGCTGTTGAAGATGTAAAGATTTTACAATCATTGGTGAAACATCATAGGTTATCATGTGAAATATTGTTGAAACATAGCTTCAGTGTTGACTTTATTTTATCATCAATTGAATACAAATCAAAGACCACTGAATGTTTGAACTCTTTGCAGCCTTTAGTTACATGTCTCTCTAGTTATATGATTAAAAAGATTGCACAGTCGGGTTTGGCATACGGTCATCTGAAACTTGCTTTTGACAGGGGAGGAGCAGAGGGCCTTGAAAATATTCTTTCAGAGAAGCAGTCAGATGGAAATATTAGAGTTACAAGAAATAAATCAATTCTTTCCAAAGTTATCACCCATTTCAGTACATAAAGTATCTCAATGCCATGAAGTATGATTCTTATAATTGATCTGCAATTGACCATATGATTGAACTTTGATTTTGACATGAAAGTATAATTTTGTGTCCTTTTTTTCTTGCATAATATTAGGAAGGGCAAAATCTGTAAGTATGGATACTTATTAGTTAAAGATACAAGAGTCATCTTTATGTGATTTTAAATACCAGTGAAGTATGTAAGTATACATGTACTTGTTATTTTATCATTTTATTTTTCATTAACTTTATTGATGCTATCTGCATTTTTGAGTGTGTATTTCCTATGCTTTTCCATATCATTTTAGTGCAATATTTGTTGTGTTTTCTTCTTTTTTGTTTTTTTTTTGTTTTCTTTCATTTTCATTGTTATATTTTTATTTTGTTGCTGTGTATACATGTTTGTCTACCTGTTGTTTGTGTGTCTTCCTTTTCCTTGCTACTGCTGTTGTGTGTTTAACGTGATGTTCACTGTGCATTTTTTTCCCTATCTTTCTGCTTCATCATGCATTCAAATATATATAGTTGCTTTTTGCTCTAACACCTGTAAGCATATTTTCCTATCCATATGTAACACTGCATACTATTTTATCTATATATATATACTGTAAATACCAATAATTCCATTTCCTTGAGCAAAAAAAAATATTTTTAGTTCATAAAATATTAAATATATGTAAATTTTCATGTAAAAGTACCAGTTTATTTGGGCCCTACCATATTAAGAAAGATAACTCTTCAAACCAGATCTTCTGAACCAGCATTTTTGAGAATATTTTTTGTAGATTTCTTAATCAAATTTCATTTCAATTTTTCATTTGCATATCATCAATAATCATGTGTATTTTCTATTTATAGATTTTGGTACAGTTTTAACCACCGGTTTTCAGGAAATTGAACATGAATGTTAAAAAAACACTTTTTTTCAGAAATAATAAAAAAATGTATGATGAAAAAAAATTTTTTTTGTTGTATTTTAATTCTTACATAGTCAACGGGAATGTTTTAAGTGAATTGAAAATGAAATTAAAGATAATAAATTAAAAATTAAATAAATTCAAATTAATTTGAAAAAATAAAAAAAAATTGTAAAAAATAAAGGATAAATATCTGCATTCTGGGAATGTTGTTAATGATTCTATACATGAAAGAGGCATGCATATTACAAATATCACTAGGTGTGTTATTCTACCTTAATAAACGTTACGGGTATATGCACGGATAAAAAGGAATTTGACATCAGATTCATATAAAAATGAATCCCACCATACTTTATGCCTCAACAAAGTATGCTCTAAAATTTCAAGCATCTGTTATGAGTAGTTGCTGAGAAAACTGCAACGAAAATTTGTTAATTTATGAAACGGAGATGCACTGACAAACAGGAAGTTGACATCAGATTTGAACAAAATTTAATCCAACCATATGACATGCCTCACGAAAGAGTGTGCTAAAATGTCAAGTATCTGCGATGAGTAGATGCTGATAAAACTGTGACAGAAATTTGTTATGTATGAAACATGTATGAAAAAGAGACGCACGAACAAACAGGAAATTGACATCAGATTTAAACAGGAATCCCGCCATATGACACGCCTCAGAGAAGATTGTGTTAAAATTTCAAGCATTTGCGATGAGTAGTTGCTGAGAAATCTGCGACGAAAATTTTTATATATGAAACGGACAGGCGCATGGGTAAACAGAAAGTTGGCATCAGATTTGAACAAAAATTAATTCTAACATATGGCATGCCTCAGAGAAGATTGCAATAAAATTTCAAGCTTCTGCGATGAGTAGTTGCTAAGAAAACTGCGACGAAAATTTAATACGGACAGACAGACGGACAGACGCACAAGGGTAAAGCAGTATTCCCCCCTCTCCTTTGGAGCGGGGGTATAAATATTCAGTTTTTAGTGATGATAAATTTACCTTCATATTTTGATTTAAAGCTAAACCCATCTAAGCATCTAATGTTGCTGACAATTGCTGCCATTATGCTCCAAGTGCATCTGTTAGAGAGTTTGCTGAAAATGCCAGCATTCTCATAACCAATCTTGTCCAGAGTGTGAAATCGTGTCAAAAGCATTGTCCTAAATAGAATATGATTTGGTCAGTATTACTTACCAGTCAGAATAACAGCATGGAATTATGTATAAAATGTCACAGGTACATTCAATAACCAGAAGTCTCTGTCGAGACTGAAGCTCTACTGGTTTGTACTTATAGCAAAGGAAGAGAAAAGTACTTAAGCAGTTGGAAATTGAAACTTTTCAACAGCAATAAATAGTATAATGATCCTTGATTAAGTCTCTTTATGTTCTTAGTGCAGTCTACTTGCATGCTACATTTATATTATAATCAGACTAAAATTGTATTTGGAGTAGCATTTTGAAAGAATTTCACAGAAATTTCTATTTTTAGTAACCACGGCAACACCGTTCATTAAAATCAAAAACCGATATATAGAGTTATGTATCTTATTGTAGTCTACTTGTGTGCCAAGTTATATTGAAATCAGACTAAAACTGTAGAAGGAGTAGCATTTTGAAAGAATTTCACAGAAATTTCTATTTTTAGTAACCACGGCAACACCGTTCATCGAAATCAAAAACCAATATACAGAATTATGTATCTTAGTGTAGTCTACTTGTGTGCCAAGTTATATTGAAATCAGACTAAAATTGTAGGAGGAGTAGCATTTTGAAAGAATTTCACAGAATTTCTATTTTTAGTAACCACGGCAACACCGTTCATCCAGAATTATGTATCTTAGTGTAGTCTACTTGTGTGCAAAGTTATATTGAAATCAGACCAAAACTGTAGGAGGAGTAGCATTAAATTGTTTACAGACAGACAGACAGACAGACAGACGGACGGACGACGGACGCATTACTATCGCATAAGCTCTTCTGGTCTCTGACCAGTAGAGCTAAAAATGTGTACATGTAACGTACTTTGCAATCAGACAGACGGGCAGACTGACCGAAATTAATATCCCCCACTTTCAGCGGGGGGCAAAACCAACTTAAACGTGTCTTGGATTGCATGTTTTGCGAAAATGCTTATTTTAAGGAAGTATGATGGAGCTGATTGTGTGTTATTTATATCAGCCTATTGCTTAGTTTAAATAGTTGACGATTGTGGAATTACATATATCTACTCTTAATTTAACTTCCTCCTCTGTAAAATGCACGTTTGTTGGTTTAATGATTAGAAGACAGGATATTAATGTGTTAGAAAGAATTCGAAGTTTGATTTTTTAAACGATATAAGTGATGTAATTATTGTTTTTCCTGGATTTGGGGCAAAGTTCCAGCTACGTGAAATGAACATAATTTACTTTATATCTTTTGTGGTTATTTCAACTGCAAGTAAGTATTTTTGTGACCTGCTTTCGCGAAAGCAAGAAGATATTAAATTTCATTTGTCATATGTATATTTACTGTGACGAGGCCTTTCTATTTCATCCACTTGAGACGACCAATAGACCTACTTCATACAAATACTATGACCAGTTAAATTCATTAGGAGACCACTAAAAATTTTAATAGCTGAAGGTTATCGCAGTTCTGTTTGTACCTTAAACATCATAAGCCTAGTTCTTCAGCTCCCCGTTATAACATGCAGCATATTATAATTTGGCTGAGTACCTCATCTTACTGTTTTGCTTCAGGTAGACATCTAGTTTGTTACATGACTCTGATGCCTCCGCGTATCTTGCCGTCTATTTTGCACAGCTGGTTTAGCTCCCTTCTATGTTGTACCGTAAATGTACCGGGGTATTAAATTTGGCGTGTACGATATTTGGCACTAATACTTTTATTGATTTTGAACAACTTGCGTGGATTGGATTTAGAGCATATCTTAAAAGAATGAGTCTATTATCGTTTTATTAACAAGTGACAGTTTGCTTGATAGGGCGTGCTAAAATTTTGTATGCTGATTATCATTTTTACTCATCAATTGGGTGTTTGATTTCAATAGAATCAATAATACTTTGCATATGAAGCACAGAACACAGCAATTCCACTGACAATACTGACCAATCGCGTTGAATAAACAACAATTACATGTGAACGAAAAAGTAAGTTTTACTTCCTATAATGATGATATTGAAAGAGTTATGTACATAGTACAACAGAAGCAGAGTAGCCTTACTAATTCCATTCTTTAAATTTTCTTATATGTATCCAAACACCCACCCGGTCAAATCACAACAAATATAATACATGCTTTTTTGAGGACAGAAAACGAAACGGGCTTTGACTGACCACGTGTTGCTAGTGACTACAAATGCCGTACTGGTAAACAACCTTACAATGTGATTGGCTAGTATTATCAGGGGATTGTTGTATTCCGAGTTTCATATGCAAATTAGTATTGATTCCATTGATCCAATCGATGAGTAAAATGATAATCAGCACACAAAGTTTTAGCACGCCCCATCAAGCAAACTGTCACGCTGTTTGTAAAATGATAATACTACAATGAAGCGCAATGAAGTTGTAAAATTATCTATTTGGATGGAACGTTTTGAGCTATCTGTAGAAGTTATTTAAATGATAAAATGCTTTCTTTGATTGTTAGAATGGGAATTAATGTCGCAGCTATTGCAGAAAAAATACATAAAAATTACGCGTTCATGTAATTTTTTTCTGCAATTGCTGCGACGTTAATTCCCGTACTAACAAACAAAGAAAGCATTTTATTGCTTATATTTACATCTGTATCAAAATCCATTCAATGTAAAACATTTGTTCACTATTGATTTTCAGATGAATATATCATTGTATGTAAAATTGTTGGAACAGCCAATGTTCCAGAAAACTATACATGTGACTTAGAGCAGAGCAAACACGGACCTCCGAAACATCAGAGGTGGGATTAGGTATCATGGAGGAGTTAGCATCCCCTGATGACCGGTCACACCCGCCGTGTGCTCCTTGTCATGGTCGGGAAATAACGGAAAAAATCCGTCGTCAATTCAGTGTATAAATCATGGGCTAACAATTAGTATGAAAAACGTCAGTCAGCATTTGACTCAATGATAAATTGTATTTGCTGACAAGGTCATTTTATCGGCTATAGAACTTACGAAATGTTGACTATAAATGAGACTGCTGATATTCTTGTTTCATCAA